TGACCCCAGTTCACCGCCCAAATGCACCACCCTCAATTTTGCATTAGAATTGCGCGCTAATTGAGCTTGTGCAAGATGGAGAGGACTGATAAGTAGTTGTAGTGTACTGTACGGCATAAGGAAAAAAGGGAAGTAGTAGACCAGGAAAATTTCTGTTCTGTATAATACATGTAGCTATCTTCTCTCACACACACACATGTACACACATACACACACACACACACACACAAACACACACACATGTACACACACGTGCACAAACACACACACACACACAAACACACACACACACACACACACACACACACGCACAAACACACACGCACGTGTACACACACACACACACATACACAAACACACACACACACACGTGTACACACACACACACACTACACACACACACACACTACACACACACTACACACACACACACACTACACACTACACACACACACTACATACACACACTACACACACACTGTACACACACACACACACACTACACACTACACACACACACACACTACACACACACACACTACACTACACACACACACACACACACACACGACACACACACTAATCATTGCAGTATACAATGTATATACTTTTGATGGCGTACCAAACATGGGTACCAGGTACTGTCCTGGGATGATACAGCTGGCCAGGAAGGCCAGCCACAGGGTGGAGTACAGCTGTCGGGTGGCCTCAGGGTGCTGCCATGTCAGGAGGCTACAAACACAGCACAACAGTCAGGTAGTACACACAACTCATCTATAGAATACTGGACACTGAACAAGACTACTATCAAACTTATGTAAGACGACCACCCACTATATGAACTTTATTGACACAACAAATTTTAAAGTACAACGGCTTTCGTAAAGTCTTAAACTACATGTAGACATATACATGTTGTACAGACAAATACATGCCTACAACAAAATGAACCATACAATACAATTAGATGAAACTTATACTTAGTCTACTTGATGTTCTAAGGTCTAAACATTCTTTGATATATTTAGTACACACAGTAAGGGTTATTACCTTCTAGAATGAAATTGAACTTATCTATAGCATGAAAGGTACCAAAATATATAGGGGACGGAAGAAAAGTGAGGTTCTTAGACAAATGGTCTTATACAAAAAGCATTGATGGCAACAGGATAGGATGAAGAACAAGAAAACTGCAGCAAAATTTCCACCCATTTTACCATAGACTGCCTAATAGACTCAAAGTGACAAGGCAGTGCAATTTTACACAAATACGGCAAAGACTGTCATGCTGTTGAAATCAATGGCAAACTGGCCGATTCCTTTACGATTTGACAGATATTAACAATTTCAACACATTAGAGAAAATAAGACTTACTTTTTGAGTTTCTCCAAACTGTCTGCCACCTGTCCCAATGTGTTCTGTATGGAGATGTGAAGTCTTAGAGTAAGGCAGTTAGAAACTGTATCTATTACATGTAGATGTAGATCCAAATCAATAGTATTTACTATTACCCAACCTTAATGAAATAAAAATGCTAGACTAATATCAAAACAGAAATAAGTAAGCTTCTGTTGTGTACATGCATGTGGCAGTGGCTTGGTAAGTACATTTTAGTGCTGACAACTTCCTTACTGACCTGGACCTTCCTTGCCACCTGCAAAACCAGTTGGAACTTGTCAGCCATTCCTACAGCTTCTTGACTCTCCTGAGACACACACAAAAAAGGAAACATTAATTATTATACAATAAAATGTACTTGAATACAGTACCAGCTAGTCAGATGATGATTATAATTTTAGAAACAGATCTTTGTCTTTCTGTCACCTAACTCGGCTGTTGTCTGAATGGCATGAAACAAGTACAGTGTGGACAATTTTTGTGTGTTGTGAGCTAAAAAAGGGATTTGTGACCTCTGCCAAGAAATTAGACAGCTTGACTATGTACCTGTGATATAAGAATGACCCCCCCCCCCCGCACATTGCAGGGGTCAAAATACATATAAATGTACATGTACCCCTCTGTGTGCAGGTTGGTGCAAGTAAGCTTTATCTGTTACTACACTGTCCCATAGAAATACCCAATAAAGAACTGAAAAGGTAATAAAACCAGATTCCAGGAAGTTTTTCTTCATTTTCTTAGAAGTAGGCATAGGAAGGTTAATGTTACTATCTAAGTCACTGCCATGGTTAGTAGTTTGTCCCCACAACTGTTACAGTGTATTAAACAAAAATTGAATACTATAATTATTATTTATGTTCATTACATTTACATGTACATGTACATTTGGTTGTGTACCTATTTTCTTTGTGGGGAGGGTGCAACTATTTTTTTTTTTATCTGCACCAGTGCACGTTCCCCAAAATCTATTTCGACCCCTGCATTGCTTTAAATTTTGTCATACAGCTATTATCTGATGTAGGGAATCCACTCAAATACAAATGTACGCCGCAATGCATTACATTATAAGTTTAGCAGAGACACAATGAACAGTCAATCCCTGTATGAAAATAGCACCATCCTAAACGAATGCAGAATTTTATTATATTATCTAAAAATCATTGTACCTGAAATAACTGAATACATTGAGCAATGGGACAACAGTTGCTTAGTACTGTACATCTGATAGAGCAAAAAATTATTGTACTGTATTTCAATCAAACAGTAAACACAATAATGTATGAAAGACAATACATCGTTTGAGTGTGATTGACACATCAAGCTGCCTTTACAGCCCTTGTATCAAGCACCAATCGGGTTAAGGCCTACCTCTGGCTACGATTAGGCGGCGATCCAAGCGACGATTTGATCAGGACGCAACATAGCACAAATCAAGAGGAATCAGGTATTAGCTGACAAGACATGACAAGGCCATGTTCATGTGATCATATGGATGACATTCTCTGGAAACCCCAAAACTCAGATACAGTATGAGCGTATATGCGAATAAGAAAAAATTTAAGCAAAAAAAAAAAAGTAAAAATGCTTTCATTATAAAATCTACGTGATCATGAAGGTTGAACAAATGACTAAACACACAGAGTATGATATGGAGAATAATAATTTCTCTTGGAATTGATTTTGACATTCTACGACATTTGTATTGTTTTCCAATATTTTTTTTTTTCAATTTACAGCATATATTTGCTCATTTTGCAGCTGCATTGTAGAATTTACAGCATGGTCGCAAACTTTCGTTTTTGGAAACGGATGAAAATTGATGCGAGCGCGGATGTCATTCATATAATCAAATCATCATAGCCTAATGATTGCAACATGATAACTTGCACATTACTGCAAGCAAAAGGAACTGATACAAACAAACTTACATGCATAAGAGCTTTTCCATTGATGTCTTTATCAGAATTATATTATAATTACTTTAAGCAAAAATGTCTGAGCCATATAATTTTCTTGGACAGAAAAATAATTCACAATAAACAGCACAATTGTGTACTAGAAGGGAAAGCTTCAGAATCCATAAAGAACAGGTTACAATGTGCATTTATCTTTACAGACATAACTTAATAATTATATTGTAAAACATGTACAGTAGGGCAGGAAAAGTTTTACACAACAAAAAGCACAAAGCAGCAAAGCACACGAGGTCAACCATAATTGATAAAAGCCATCTTTATCTACTTGTAGTGCAGGGCTCTAGCCAGCATATCTTTTTTTTAAATTTTTAACAGCATTAACCCGTTTTCCAGTTAATTGCAGGAACTATTTGGAAACATTTTTAGACCAAAACTACACGGAAAAAAACTGAAAAATCTTGGGAGAAAAATATAAAAAACATTAAAAAAAACACTCTCAACCTCATGATTTGCTTCCCAAAATGTGGAAAAAGGTATTTAAAGGCTTGAAAATCCAAAATTTGGATCAGGACCCCCCTAGATTGTGAGTACTCTCCCCCAAAGTCCAATCATGAATGTTAGCCGATGAAATAAATGTTGAGCTGGCTAGACCCCTGATACAGTGACTAGATCACCCGACGTAGTTTCTTCTATTAACAATAATAAATAGTAGAAGAACAAAGGTCTGATACCTCCTTCTTTGGTTGTGCTCTTCGTGGAATGATTTCGAACGATATCTTCCATCCTCTGGGTTTAAAAGATAAAACGTTGATGCCAGCTGATGATAAAATTTGCTTTAGTCCAATGCATTATGACAATCCAAAATATTTGCAACTTCCTATTCCTAGAATTTTCTTGTCAACTTCATACATCAATAACTAAAGTTTTTACTTATAATAAAGTTATATTCCAATCACTACCCCTGATGGTAGTACTGTTACTGGTAGTATCATGGTACATGTAGTAGACTTTTTCTTTCGAATCAAGGGAAAATTGTAATGACTTAGTGTACAATGTATATGACTGAAATGGTTACTACTGACTTTTCTATCTACTGTGAGGAAAAAGAAACAAAAGAGAATTGGACAAAGCATTTTTGTACATTTTGGCACACAAGAACTCATCGCAATCATCATAACATCTTGGATCATTGAAAATTCTTCTTGAATAGCAGTTCAAACTTACTTGGCAATGAGGTAGTTGAGGGAAAGTCTCAGAATGCACAGGAACAGGAAAAACTGGAGAAGCCAGCCCTGCCATGCAAAGTACATGTAAATCTGCAGGGGGGAGAGACATTAATTTCCATTAGGCCATGTTGATTTGATTATATGTATGACATCCTCCGGGAGCCCAAAAACTGATGCGCGCGTGCGAATAAAAAAAAGTTTGGCAAAAAAAAAGTTCTTTTCATTATGAAATCTACGTGGTCATGAGGGTTGAGCAAATGGCACAGAATATGGTTTGGCGAATAATCTAGTCTTCAAGTTCATTTCTTTACAATTTCGTCTTTTTTCGTTTGATTTTGGCATTCTACGACATTGGTATAGTTTTTATTAATTTTTTTGTAACTTATGGTATATTTTTGCTCATTTTGCAACTGTTTTGTACGATTTACAGTATGGTTGAAAACTTTTTTTTTTTTTTGGAAACGGCCAAAAATTCATGCGTGCGCGGATGTCATCCATATAATCAAATCAACATGGCCTAATAACAATTCAAGTTAGAAGACTTTCTTACTCATCCACACTGAAAATAATGCAGTGAATGTTAGCGTATTATTTAACACTACACTTCATACAATCATGTAGCTCTAGTGCAGAATAATGATATTTTCACTATAGCCACAACAATTTTTTTTTTCAGAAAAAGATATGAAGAACAGGGTGAAATAAAGAAAGACCAAGGCACCCCATGATACGTGTTGCTTGAAGCCATGAAGCCAACATACTTCATTTTTTGGCTGGGATATAATCCATTATACGTTGAATTTTGAACTTAAAATGAAACCACTGCATCGATAGATGAGAAAACTTTTACTAGGAAGACTTTCTTTAACCGTTGGGGCCAAAGTATGATACTATGAGCATTACAGAGTTGCTCTATAAGCTACATTCTTCTTTTTTTTTTGCAAATCAGAAAAAAATGAAGAGGCGAATATGTATACCCAATTATTGATAAAATTGGTCTGTTGTTTCACTCAATTTTGCTGCTAAAATTCTGACAAAAATTCTGCCAATCTTTCAAGGACAAAGATCGGAGTGTAAAGATATGGAATAATGGATTATAAGAATGATTATACTTTTAATCTACCAAGCAAATATTTTACTCATCAAAATGTTGGAAACAGCATAAAACAGAGTGTTAAGATTTTCAAATTTCACGCCACCACCCCCTTCCCTCAATATCAGTGCTCAACATTGTGTTATGTCAAAGAAAATTGACACGATGAAAAAAATTCAGGCTGGCGTGAACACTGGCCAGGCCATATATTTTCTAAGAAAACCTATCAACGTGAACTTGTTGAAGGTAATGTACTCTATACTACATGTACCTTGCCAAATATAAGGCCACACCAATTTAATTTGTTGGTTCTTTGATTTTTTTCAGAAAAAATATGAAGCGACAGGGGGAAAAAATGACAAAAATAAAAACAGGTCTAGGCAAATAGCCCCAAAGGCTAGGATAGGATTTAAGTCAACACAAAAGTCTGGGTTGATATTCAAACAATGAATTTTAAACTTTTAATCAAGTCACTGCATTGATAGATGGAAAAACTGTAATAACTAGGAATAAAAGGACTTTCCTCAATTTTTGGGGGCAAAATATGAGCATAATCTAACCTGATTCAAAACCAGAATTTTTTTTTTTGCAAATAAAAAAAAATGAAGGGGCAAATCCGAGAACCAACTAATTAAATTGGTGTGGCCTTAATACGATTAATTGAAAACAGAGTCAGCTATCTCATCAAGTTATATATCACTTTAAGACCATTAAAGACTCACAAAAAAAGATAAGAAGGTGGCAGAAGGAGTCTTCCACCCAAGGAGATCTGATAAGGAACTTCCAAACTCCCAGATGGGCTTGGAATCTGTACCTGAAGGAGACAGAAAAATTATCATAAATTAATTGTAAATGGTTGGAAAATAATTCTAATGTACTGCTCAAGACATCATGGGTATTGAGAAAAAAAGGCATCTTCATGAGTTCACCAATGCTATGTCTGCTGATAACTTTATCTTGAATGTGCAGTTTTAGCAAATTAGTAATGTTGCAACTTGCAATCAACAAAATTAGCCAATGGTATACAATACATTACAATGTCAAGACTTTGAAGGTAAGACAAGGTAAACTTACTGAATCTCTTGAGATTCTCTTTCAACCTGTAAAACAGAGAAAGTATTTGCATAAGAAAAACAAAACTTTATATTTCTTCAGCAACTCATCAAATATGGGCTTATAACACATTCTATTTACCACATGATATTGTGACAAATGCCTAATCTAATCAGTAATGTACCATTTAGGACAAATGGGATGCATATGTGCCACACTGAATTATAGTCTCTTTACACTAAGCCCTTACAGTTACTATATGTCATTGAATATGAACACCAAGAGCTATTCGATACTTTACAATTAGACAAGATATGTAAGACTAGAAAGGCCGACATTTGCTTGAGAGCAAATGCAGCAGATGGCTTCACCCTATCCCCCTATCCTACGATGGCTGCCAATAGTCTACACCCCCATGCAGAAATGGAACCTTCCAATGCCGGAAATAGCCAAAAAGCTCTATTTTACATAACTTTAAAGTGGTGTATGTCAAAATCGTGAATGCCATTCTTTGGACATGTGTCCAAGGTATTCCCATACCAAATTTCAGGTCATTCGGATTTAATATTAGGGCACAGGAGCCAAAAATGTACATTTTTGGTCCGAAAATAGCAAAAAAGCCCTATTTTACACAATTTTAAAGTGGTATATGTCAAAAGCGTGAATGGCATTCTTTGGACACGTGTCCAAGGTATCCGCATACCGAATTTCAGGTCATTCAGATTTAATATTAGGGCACAGGAGCCAAAAATGTACATTTTGGGTCCGAAAATAGCCAAAAAGCCTTATTTTTCCCAATTTTAAAGTGGTGTATGTCAAAAGCTTGAATGAGTTTTTGTAGACATATGTCCAAGGTATCCCCATACCAAATTTCAGGTCATTCGGATTTAATATTAGGGCACAGGAGCCAAAAATGTACATTTTTGGTCCGAAAATAGCAAAAAAGCCCTATTTTACACAATTTTAAAGTGGTATATGTCAAAAGCGTGAATGGTCATTCTTTGGACACGTGTCCAAGGTATCCGCATACCGAATTTCAGGTCATTCAGATTTAATATTAGGGCACAGGAGCCAAAAATGTACATTTTGGGTCCGAAATAGCCAAAAAGCCTTATTTT